TTGCCATAAAACCCAAATCCGGCCATTCTCAGCATGGTTGTAATTACGACATGAACTCTAGCCCCCAAACATTTTAGACAGAATTTCTCCAGAGTTGTTTTCCTTAACTCTAGTTTCTAGGAGGCAAAGAATATTGATGTGAAATCTAGCAGCCCATTTCAACACTTTGCTTTGTTTTAGGGGACTGTTAAATCCCCTGACATTCTAGAAGCACACTAGCATAATAAATTTGAGGATGTGGCTTGTATTGGGAGTGATATGGTGATTGATCAGGGGTCTAAATAGCCTTATCATTCTACATAGGCTAATGATCCCCATATAAAGAGAAGTAGAGGCAGGCCAGCTAAAGTTGTTGGATGAGGGTCCAAGAACAAATTCAACATCCTAAGTTCAATTGATCCTGACAGTTTGGTTGGAGTTCCCCTTGAAGACTCTGGTAAAAAGCAGAGGGGTGTTGCTTTGGGTGTGACAAAAATATCTTTAATGTTTGCATAAATAATCATTTTATATTTTTAGCATTTTATATTAATGTTTTAATTTCTGGTCAAAATAGACCACGTTAGATAAAAATCATTAGTTGACTATCGGTCAAACTGAGTTATTAACATGACATTTTTACGTGTGTCTAATTATTGATGTGACACACATCAAATCATCACTTTTTTGTCACATCATCATTTTAGATGACACGACACATGTCATGCCTATAACATTAGTTATTGTTAAGCAACTAACGATTTTAATTTAACGATATCTGTTTTAAACAAAAATCAAAATGTTAAAGACAAAACGCTAAAAATCTATCTATATAAATATTAAGCGATATTTTTATTATTATATCTTTTCAAAATATATTACAAGTCAATGCCATTGTAAATATTAAAAAAGTAACGTGGATTAAAAAATCAAAACTAAAGGGAAATATTAGTTCTAAAAAAATAACATGTAAATATTAAAAAAATTAGATGGATTAAAACATTTCACCTTAAACAGATGCCTAAGCATAAAGTTTTGCACGAACCCAGTGATCTCAGTAGTAAATGAATTGTTATTATTCATTGAGATTATGAGTTCGAGCATCATAAATGTTGGGGGTATGAACATTTAATGTCAAAAGGTTAAGGGTAATCCTTGAATAGATACTATTTTGTATTTATTACAGATTTATATATAAAAAGTTATCTCTTTTTATCTCTTGCTAACATGTAAATCAAAACATGTTTTATTGTAGTTTATTTTTAATTTAGTCACTAAAAAATCCAACTTTCCAATATAATCTATAATGGTAAAAAGAAAAAGTTTATGTGAACCAAATTCTTAATGATAAATAATTTTCTTTGAAATGAAGTTTATGTTAACAATAAATCTAGGATTCAATTATTTAAATTTAGTGACAATAAATAAATACTATGAAAAGAATATGCACTTAGAAAATACTCATGATGGAACTCAAGTATTCTTTGAATCTACAAACCATATAAAGAATAATATATATAATTATTCAAATTGGACCTAAATGATGTATTATAGTTTATCATTTAACCAAATGCTAAATGGTAAAGTAACAATTATTTACCAAGCATTGAAAATAAAATATGTATATATAAATGATGAGTAGGCAAGTATCAGACGATCTTAGTGATTAAGAGATATTTGTTATTCTTTGAGGTTTCGGGTTCGAACACTACGTATTTATGGATATGAGCATTCATTGTTAAATAATTGAGAGTCTTTGAACAGATATTACATTGTATTCGCCATAAATTTATAAAAATTAAATAAATAAATGATGAGTAAGTTAGGGTATAATTCAGCTTTCACAACGGGTGACTATCGTAAGTCATAGGAATAAGAAACCTCTAACAACTACAAATTCTTCATCCAATAAAATAATTAAGTGAAAAAAATAAAGTAATAATAAAAAAAATAAGAAAAGATATAAGAATAATGAGAAAATTTTATATTATTATCTTAATACGAATTATATTAAATATTTTTCTCTAAATTCTATATTTATAGACTATATAATAATGAAATTTAATCATAATGAAATTTGCAAGTGAAGAGGCAATAATGACTAGACTCGCATAATAATTTCCCATGCTATTGCTTTACATTTTTCATTATCGTTTTAGTATCTGAAATTTAGAGGTGAAAAAAATTTAAATTTTATTTCAAATTCAAATTTTAATTTTAATTTTTATATTATATTTATTTAAAATTTATATAATAATATGTTTTTAACATATCAAGATTTATAAGTTAATTGTATTATACATCCTCAAAGTGTGACACTCATTTTAAATTGGTCTCCAAACTTTTGAATATTTTAATTTCATCCTCAAACTATGACTTTCATTTTCAATTGGTCTCCAAAGTTTTTGAACATTCCAATTTCATCTCAAATTATATGTAGTATATGTTCAAAATATATATTGAACTTTGTTTTTTTATTAATCTTACGTAAATACAATGTAATATATGTTTAAAGATAACTTTCAATCATTTTACATTAACGCACATACCCCTAACATTCTTGATGTTCAAACCCAAGACTTCAAAAATAACAACAATTTCTTTACCACTAAGATTGTTTGGTTCATGTATATATATATATATATCGAACATTTTATATACAATAAAAATAAATTAATAATATGAAAAATAAACCCAACTCATCAATCCTTTTTAGTTTTGTCTCATCATTAGTCGTTTCACGCTACTTCTTTTCCTTGAGTCACTGACCCACCCCATCGTTATTTCATTTTGTTCATTGTTTGACCCTTCAATAGTTTAAAATTTGTAAATGAATAATATTGAAAAATTATTAATAATATACCGTATTTTACAATTATTTTTCTACCAATCATATTAATTTATAGTTTAAAAATTTATTGTTTACGTGGATAGATGAAAATAAAATTTTACAGTAGACACAATCAATGAAGAAGAATAAAAATATGAAGAATTGAATTTTCGGACGAGCACTTATCAACCCTAATATGCGTGGATCCGCTTGTGCTTCCTGTCAGCATTAAAACATTCATTTGCTCTTTAAACTTTCATAATAGTTATTAAATCTTATTTGATAATAGTAATTAATATTATTTTTTGTTCAAATCAAAAGAGATGAATCCTCGTCAATGTCTACAATTACTATCTATCCTATTGTATATCAATAAATATTAGAAATACAACTAAATTGGGAAACCTACAATTAGTACATGTCATTTACAAGAATTGGATAATTAAAGTTGTCCAAAATAAACTGCAAATGAGTCGAAAACAATGAAGTTGAAGTTTGAAAAACATGAACAAATGAGCAAACGTCTCCACTTGAAGTGCGGAATGCATGATAATGTCAGTGATATCATGCCATTGCTAGTGATCAAACCATCATTAAAAATAAATAAAGTTGAAACAAAACAATAAAGTGAAAATTGAAAGTTAAAACAGTAATTTTGGATTTTAACTTTTATGCCGAAAAAAAGAAGTAATAAGCAATCATGGAGGGTGGACCAAGGCAGCTCTGCCTGTGATGATCACTTAGATATCTTGACTGATGATTTTGGTACATTATCCCAGTGGCGAATGTCGATAATCAGTGACGGTTCTAAAATTATTTTTAAAGATAAATAAATAAATAAATGTATATATATATATATATATATTATTAATATAAATTTTTATATAGATTAAATACTATCAATAAAATGAATTATTAATTAAAAGAAATCTGAATTTCAAAATAGACAGATGTAGATCCGCCACTGCCGATGATGATAATTGTGATGTGTGCTAATCATTTGTTGCTTGGACTTTCCCGTTCTCGTATCTCTCTTCGTTGTTGTTTCTCATTAGCTTTTTAACCTACCATGCCATATCAGTATGCTGCAATTAGCACGTTACTGCTACTGTTATTCTGCACGTTTTCCCCTTAGACTCGAAAATTCTCGTGAATAAACGGCACGCTTGTGCATAGAAGTGTAAATAAACGTAACGTTTGACTGTTCATAAATTATTTGTATAACATTCATTTATGTTTGTTTATTAAACTAAATCATAAGTACGAGCAAAAGTGAGTTCGATTCATTTATATTCATGTAATTTATTTATTCTGTTTTCGTTTTCTTTTTATTTTTTACCTTTTAAATATTGGTAACGGTAGAAATTAAATTGAACACAAGGAAAACTTTAAAGTTTAAATTGTGAAACCTAAAGAACTTAAGGATTAACGACTTATTCTCTCTATTGTTCTCTAGTTTGCAATTAAAAAGATAAAATGAGTGTTGGTTGTTGGTCATGTTCGAGAACATTAAACAAACATGTTCTGATGTTCGCGAATGTTAAACAACTCAAACACGAGCACCTTAAAAAAATAAGTAAACGAACATAAATACCTTTAAAAATAAACAAAAGAGTATAAACACAATCTTATTCGTTCAAGTCCGATTCATTTACATCCCTAATTGTGTTATCATTTTTGAAATTCTTCGTGGAAGAGTAATGGAGAAAAAGAAACTTGTGAGATCTATCAGTTGATCGTGTTTAATGATACTCATAATATTATATCTTGTATAAGTTGGATTCCTGATATTTACCTTGAAAATATAATATCTCGTCACTTAATAGAAAAAAAATGTAAAAGAAACTTGTTTAAAAGGAGTGGCAGACCTAAAGAACAAATAGGCTAAACGAGCCCAATGTGTATTGTACATAACTGCCTAATATAGTCCACCAACTGTTAAATCAAATCCCTGATTCTTTTCTTCTACAAAATATTCTGCACGATTTGTTTGATTCCGAAATTTTAAAGATGATCGAATTTGGGTTTTGCACGGAGTTGTTTTTCTGTTTCATAAACTAATTCGATTTGATCTTTAAAACCAAAGTCTTTCCAAGTTACAAACTCAAAAACAGCGTGCATTCTTCACCTGGTGTAAGCCTAAAACAGTATCGTCTCCTTGTTTCTTTCTGTTATCAACGAAACAAGACAAGTAATGAGAGATATCTTTACATGGCTTACGTCCTTCTTAATCCTCATTGCTCTTATTATTCTCATTGTTTATCAGGTCAATTAGAATCCTCCTTTTTTTTTCTCTTTAGAATCATATGATGCTTTGCTATTGGCATAATGGGTAATGATTACTTAGTTTATTTTTCGTTTCATTTGGAAGTAACTTACTTAACCATTGCAGCAATGCTAAATCATAATGTGTTGGCGCTTAAATTCGAGTTCGAGTAACATAATTATGTGCCACATTAGTGATGTTATTGTTCATCTTTAGCAAATGGATTATAACATACTTGATAATTCCGCTGCAACTCATGTGTTTGGATGATTTAGAGTTCGATTACATCAATCCTTACGATTATTCGTCGCGGGTGAAGATTCTGGTCCTCCTGGAATTCATGGGAGAAGGGATTTTGTGTTTGTTCTATCTAGTAACTGGGCATTGGGTCATGTCCATGCTATGTGCTCCCATTTCATACTTCAATGTGAGACTGTAAGTTTTTCTCTCATCCTCTTAGACTCCTTATCATAACATTAGTGTAGTCGATTTCGAGGCAAAGCGTTGTTCTTGGTCGGATTTAAGCTTCCGGTCTGGTTGATCTATTCTGTTTAGTTCCAGGAGATTGCAGATTCATGTGAATGATTAGTTAGGGGCCTTGTGGCACCAATGGATAGTTAATGACTTAATATCAAGCAGCATTCGAACTTTTCGACAATAATCTTCGTCATTCGCATATGTTTTTTTCCGAAATGTGAACTCATTGTAGTTAATAAGTAGCTTATAACATGCTTTGTTTAGTTCGGTTTGGTTTTGCAGCCCTTTCTTAGGTTAGAGACTCATGCTATGAAGCACTAATTGTAAAAAAAATCGATTTAGCTTACGATTGTACGATTTAGCTTACGATTGTACGATTTTCGTGCAAGAGAAAAGAGTAGAAGAGATGTGAGGGGAGGTTAAGATTGGATTTGATTTGAGGCAGTTACCGGAGGTACCGGACATACCTCTCCTGCTAAGTTAGATGGATTCAGGGATTGCATTCTTTTTCACCATTAGCCTTGGCTGCATTGCATGATTGTAGTTGATATTAGCACGGTTCTAATTCTATATGCTTCGGGCCAATTTGCTAATCTTCTCTTCTTATCAGCTACGCAACAGGAGAGCACCTAGTAGATGTCACCGAGGTATTTCTCTTGCTTCGTAGGGAGAAAAACCTACGGCGTTTGAAGCTCGCTTACCTCACTATTCTTCTCTTCCTCGATGTATTATGGTATGTTTCGCTTTTTCCGACAATGCAGAGCTTGCTTGCTCTAGCTAAACATGTTTCTTCTGAGTTTAGCATTGCTGATTTGAGAACTCTTGTATGTGTTGGTTAGGATGATCCGGTCTGCGATTGAAGACCAAGACGACGATGAAGATTACGGAGCCGACAGCTTTCTCGACTAGATTTAAGGAATTTTGATGAACTAAATCACGTATGCAACGAAGAATAACTAGTTGATATAAATTTCGGATTCTGTCTCTAAACAACGCTTCCTCTTTTCCTTTACAAACAAGTAACAAAGAAAATGAGTATGGGCTTTCAAGAAGAAGAGTATGGGCTTTCTTCACTTAAAACAACAAAATGGGTCAGTGGGCCCAAAATTAGTCGATATTGCATCGGGAACGAGCGGGGAAGGTTCGTTTTTCGTTTGAATTATGTTTTTTATTTTAAAAAATAAGATTAAATTGATAAAATATATTAACCAAGGCGATATAATATATAAAAACTGAAGACTAAATGTATTATTATATCAATTTTAAAAATATATATCATTAACATGATGTAACTAAAATAAAATTAAACGACAATATTAACCACGGAAATGAAAATGTTTTAATTTAATATAAAATAGAAATATATCAATAGTTGAATTATCAAATAAATAATTTATCAATCAATTTAAAAGTTTAATTTTTTTTCAACAAATTTATCCAAATCATCGTAAAACGGATCTAGTATCGAAACATTTAAATATAAAAGCGACAAATTGAATTTTAAATGGCCTGAGTTGACTGACCCTAAACATGGCTGTACTGTTTTCTTTTTCATTCTTATATATATATATATTAGAGATACTTTGGAGTAAGTATAAAATTGTATATGTTCAAAAATAACTCTTTACTATTTGACATTGAACGTTCATACCACTTACATTCCTAATGTTCGAACATAATACCTTAATAAATAATATCAATTCATTCATCACAAAGGCCACTTGAGTTTGTACTTAAAATATTATATAAATCCAAATGAAGCCGGCCATTTCTAAATATCAAAGATAAAATAAATTTAAAGGAAATTAAACAATAATATATGCAAGATGTCATTAAAATCATTATCCAATGAAAATAGAGTTTTGTTTCTCCATTTTGATAGTTTTATGATATTTATGTTTTGTAAGGAAATCAAAAAATATGTCATTATTAACGTTAAGTTATTTAAATAAAATTTAAATTTTAAATATTGATATTGCGGATTAAAAAATGTTGGATTAAAAGGGTCACCTGCAATATATATTCATAGAATTTAATTTAGATTAATCGGTTATTAAATCGATAATTCATATTTAATTAAGAATAATTTACTCGTTGGACTCGCATTTCTTTTCCAACAAACTTATAGTTGAGTTGATACAAAAATATTATATGATGGAGTTTGTGTGTGTAGAATCTCTCTTAATATATTTTACGCATGCCTCACATGCATCATAACGTCCACAAAAATATGGTCTATTCATGGCCTCCTTATTCTTGTCTTAGCTTATTATCCAATTATTTTAAGTCAAATTTAATTTATATTTAATTAAAATTACAAGTTGATACATACATACATACATATGTTTTGTTGAATATTTCAATTTCATCTCAAATTATATGTATACTAATTGCATCCATTATTAATAAATCGTTAGGTCAATTTATATTATTATATGTTTGACAAATATAAAATTTAGATTAAACCATAGTTGAAACTGGTTACGTATTTGGATGAATCTGAGGACGAAATTGCATGACTAAAAAGTTTTGGGATCAATTTAGAATGAAAATTATAGTTTGGGGATGAAATTAAAATATTCAAAAGTTTAAGGACCAATATAGAATGAGAATCATAATTTGGGGATGAATTTAGAATATTTAAAAGTTTGAAGATCAATTTAAAATGAGAGTGAAGATGCAATTAACTCGTATTTTAAATTTATAATCGAGGAGATAAGTTAAAATAAAGAGAATTACGGGGTCCAATACATGGAAACCCTAAATAAGGAACAGCAACAAAAGGGTGGTTTGGTGTCAGCGGCTCCGACGAGTGTGTTCACGGCCCCGACACTCTGGATTATGCGGTCAATTGTGTTCATTAAAGAAACGCCTTGGGCTCATACACTAATCTGCATTTTTTTATTACTAAAATCTCTTTGTTTCTCACTCAACATAAGCATGCGACAAGGATTGAACATGTTAGCCCGCAATGATAGGGTTTCTATTTAATGTTTTTAGTTTTCCTATGTTATTTGCATGTGATCTACTCCCTCTTTATCACCATATACCAATATATATATATTTCACATTTAATTTTATCGTATCTTTTTCATAAATTATATTTTCAAAGTTATTGAGTGATTACAGTAGTCAAAAAAAAGTTTTGAGTTCAAGTAATTGTATTTGTTATCTATATAATTCATGTTTAAGTCTAAGAAAATTATAATATTATTATTTAGTATTAATTTAATTAATTTTATTATTGTTATATTATATAAAAAGATGTATATTCAAGTGTAGTCAGATGTACATTAACTTAATTACCATGGTATTAAAAGTCAAATTCGATTATATAAAAACCATTTGTAGTGCGTTTTTTCTGGAAAGGCAGTGATTCTTCAACTAAAGGGGCTCGTGTGGGTTGGAGCCATATTTGCTCTTTGAAGTATGAGGGTGGTTTGGGTCTTCGAAGCCTTGTGATGTGGAATAAAGCTTGTTGTTTGCTCCTTATAAAGAACATTTTGGCTAATGAAGGCTCTCAGTGGATTGCATGAATCAATGAATATTGTTTCAAATCAGTTAGCTTTTGGGATGTTGAGTGTAAAGCTCACTTCAGTTGGATCCTGAGCAAGCTTCTGAGTATGCGGGAGGAGGCTAGACGTTTATTCCTCCCTTGCCCCAACTGGAGTCTTATTAAAGGCAAATGGATTTGGGACAATATCCGGGATTGCAAGGCGAAGGTAAACTGGCATAGACTGATCTGGTTCCCTGCTCACATTCCAAAATTCTCTCTTGTCTCGTGGATGGTCATTCTCGACAGATTGCCTACTAAAGACAGGCTTGTTTGGTTTGGTTTGGATATTGACAATGTATGTGGTTTGTGTGGCTCTGGCATTGAATCTCGCGATCATCTTTTTGCTGAATGCCCTTTTGCAAAAGAAGTGTGGGGGATTGTTTTAATTGCTTGTGATATTCGTTATGACCTTAACAGTTGGGGTGACATTTTCAATTGGTTGATTGTAAACTTGAAGGGCAAATCCATCAGAGTTCGTATCGTGAAGTTGGCTTGGACTGGTCTGCTGTATTTTGTCTGGGAGGAGCGTAATCATAGACTCTTTCGAGGCTCGACTCGCTCGGTTGATGTAGTCGTAAATAGCATAAAAGAGGCTGTTAGAGTCAAGTTGTGTAGACTTGGATGTCCTAGGATTGAGGATGTTAATAGCCATTTATACTTGAACTGGGGTCTGTATTGAGGTTCTTTGTTTACTGTAGTAGTTAAGCTGCTTTCTTGGATGGAATATAAATTACTTATAAAAAAAAAAGATTTTGGATAGTTGGTGTGAAGAATTTAGAGAGAGAAAGAGAAGTGGGGACCTTACTAATTCCACCGCCCACAACCAGAGTTTGCGGAAACCAAGTTGACCCAACTCTCTCTCTATTTTTGGTTAAATTATGGTTTGGTCCCTCAAATTTAGATTTCAGGGTGAAAAGTCCCTCTATTTTTCTAAAATAAGTGAATTCGTATTTTATTTGAAAATATATTTTTCAAAAAATATATTTCTATTCAAGAAGATAAAATATATTTAAATAAATATTTATATTAAAATTATAGCAAATAAATATTTGTATAAAAAAAATTTATTTGACGGTTATAATGTTAACGTGACCATTAAATTTATTGATGTGATAGTTCATGTGTCATATGATATAGTATGAGAAGTTATGTGATTTTTAAAAAAAATTGAGGACTTATTTTATTCTAAAGAATATAGGAAATTTTCAAAAATTTAAAAATAATATAAAATAAAAATTATATTTGAAAATTTGAAAATATTAAAATTTGAAAATATTTAAAAACTTAAAATAAATAAATTTAATTTAATTTAAAATATTTGAAAACATTTTAAAAAATGAAATTCAAAACTTATTAAAAATTTGTGAAAAATGTTAAAATTATTTAAAATAATTAAAATATTTCAATAAATAAAAATTATGAAAAAAAATCAAACACATTGAACACTACTTATAATATCCCTCACTAACCCCATTTATTAAACACATTTTTTTAATAAAATCAACTTTACATTTAAGTAGCAATGTTATTTTTTACGATTCTCTCTAATAATTTAAAAATAATGAGACTAAGTATGAACCATAGTATTTGTAATACTTATTAGTCTTATTTTGGAGATTAATTTTTCTTATTGGCACACGAAGATGGCCTCAGTTTAATATTTTAAAATTTAAAATATTATTTTAAATTTTATATAATTTTAAAATTTTGAGAATATTTTCTATAGCTTTTATCTTAAGATTCATTAATTGGTAGAGTGGTGAAGAATACTTATATTATCCTACTTTACGTAAGTTCAAATCATAATATTTATCTTCAAAATATAATACCTCTACACTTAATTAAAAAATTTAAATAAGATTGTCTACAACATCACATATCATTAATAAGTTAAACCGTCATGTCAACAAGCTTAACGATAATTTGAATATATTAAAGATAATTTTATATTAAAGATAATTTCAATTGGGATACGTTAACGTGCGGCAGCTTTAATATACAGTTAAAAAGGACTATCGGTTTTGTTATTATTTTAAATAATAAAACCGGTAAAAAATAACAGAAAATATTATTATTTCTACTGGTTTTATTAATTACCGATATAGGTAAACGCGGTAGAAAAACCAGGTAAAAAAATAATGTTTTCGGTAAAGCGCTATCTAAAACATTATTTTTTACCGAGTTTTTCCTATCGTTTTTACCTATATCGGTAACTAAAGTCGGTAGAAATAATAATATTTTCGATCATTTTTTACCGATTTTATTATTTAAATAATAATAAAACCGATAACTCATTTTTTTAAATGTATATTAAGTCTGTCACACCTTATAACATTTCCAATTGGTTAAAGATTATTTTATTTATTTTTAAGTACAGTAGCATTTTGGATGCGTTATTTTTAGAGAAATCGATTTGATTTTTTTAATTAAAGGACTTTTTTACTCTTAACACTCAACTTTATAATTTAATTTATATATTTTAATTTGATATAATTTAATTTATATATTTTAATTTGATATAATTTAATCTTTTATTTTTATTATTAATATTATCAGTTTGTCTTAAACACTTAAAACTTTGATGATTCTTTATTAAAAATATTAATTTTAACAAAAAAATCTATATTAATATAATAAATTGGAAGAGTAACTTTTTTATATAGATATCCTCATAATCATTTTAACAGATATAATTATTAATATTATCAATTTAAATCAATTAATGGTATTATAAAATTAAAACAAAAAATAATATTGAATTAAAATGTTTTAATTAAACTTAAATTTTGAGCATAATAAGTTGACCAAAACTATAATGGGTTTAGTATCTATATTATTATTTTTGTTCTGTTTTAGTATTTAAATTTTATATTTTTCTTTTAAAACCACACTTAACATTTAGTTTAGGATTTAATTTGGTACACTGACGTTAAAACATTAACAACACTACTGATGTGATATTTTTTTAAAAAAAATTAATAATGACATGGCATTACCTTATGGTGACACGTGAATATCACTGTTAAGTTTTTAATGGCGGGCTATCAAAATGAAACTTAAACTAAACATTAAGTATAATTTTAAAAGAAAATAAAGTTTGAGTACCAAAAGAGAACAAAAGTAATAGTTTAGGTACTAAACGTTAGTTTACCCAATTATAATTTAACCATCTATAATCATCTTTCATTATATATTCCTTTACCCTAATCCTCCCTTGCTCCTCGAGTTTTAGCAACCCCATATTCTCTCTCTAAGACATACAAGATTTCTTATAGACAGAAGAAGAAGGACAAAGATGGAGAATTCAACGGAAAAATCTTTTTCAAAACCCTAAAATCAACTCAGTTTTCTGGGTTATGGGTTATGGTTTAGGGTTTGCTGTGTGTTAATGCTTGCTAGTTGTTCATTCAACAAGAAAGAAAGAAAAAGTCGATCCCTCTTTTCATCCTTTAATTAGTGCTTTGTTTCTTCTGGATGTTTTAATCATTGCTTTAAGCTGAGGTTTTTCTGGCTGTTTGAGCTTCGAGTAATGGATCCAATTACATCGCATGGTCTATCTCTTCCTCCCCCGTTTAACATAAGAGATTTCAATCTTCACCACCACCACCAGCAGCAGCAGCAGCAAGAACATCATCAATTCCACCACCAAAACTCGGAAGAAGACGAGCAAAGCGGCAGCAGCAGCGGCGCGAAGAAACGGGATCGCGACGACTACGGCAGCCGCCGTGCAGACGAAGGTAGAGAGCTCGGCATCCATGTTGGTGAAGGTGAGATGAATAGAAGGCCACGAGGTAGGCCAGCTGGATCCAAGAACAAGCCTAAACCACCCATCATCATTACTCGAGACAGCGCCAACGCTTTGCGCTCCCACGTGATGGAGATCGGCGACGGATGCGACATCGTCGAGAGCGTTGCCACGTTCGCCAGACGGCGCCAGAGAGGCGTTTGCATCATGAGTGGGACTGGGAACGTCACCAATGTTACGCTTCGGCAACCGTCCTCGGCCGGTGCGGTTGTGAGCTTACACGGGCGTTTCGAGATATTATCGTTGTCGGGTTCGTTCTTGCCTCCCCCGGCACCGCCTTCGGCAACGGGGCTAACCATATATTTGGCAGGCGGACAAGGCCAGGTCGTAGGTGGCAGCGTTGTGGGGACACTAACTTGTTCAGGTCCTGTTGTGATTATGGCAGCTTCATTTAGTAACGCGGCTTACGAGCGGCTTCCATTGGATGAAGAAGAAGAACCGCCGCGGCTACCGATGCAAGGCGGGGCGACCGAATCATCGCCGGATGTAATGGGCGGACAACAACAACAAGTGCCGCTCGAGTCAAATGCACCATTTTTTCATGGACTGGCACCAAATCTTCTCAATTCTTTACCAAATGAGGCATTTTGGGCAAGTGGTGGTCGCCCTCCATTCTAGCTAACAATTTCCAGGAAGGAGTTTATTTATAGCTAGAAAATCTGGGTTTGTGGAGCAACATTTTCCAGGTTTTGTTTCCATTTTTTTTCTTCTTTTTGAATTGAATTTGATGAGTAGATCGTAAGCGCTTGCATGTTGATTGAATGACTGTAAATTCATGGATTCTTGGTGCATTTGATTTTATGAGAATAAGTTTTTCCAGTATGTTTCGGATTAGATCAAACACTAAGCATATATACATAACATATTTCATCATTTTGTTGTTTATATATGGAAACGATCATACAAGGTCAAAGACATATGTAGAGACGGTCTTTGTTAGGCATTTTGTTGTTAGGGTTTTATCTGAACAAGCTCCTTTTCGAGGTAATTTACCACGGAATACAAGATACAGGCTCTGTTGTTTCAAATATGTTTAATGTCGAATATATACCCACTAATACACGTATAGCGCGACTCGTTATAAGTCCAACAGTCTCACTTTCATTTCCCTCCCCCCTGCATGGGATAAATTAGAGGGGATAATTGAGTCGTTTAGATCGGATTCATGTCAAACTATTTTAGATCGAGCTATTTTAAATTTAGATTGTATTTGGTTTAAGTTTGATTTGGATCGGATTAATCTGATTCAAATTTAATTCGGGTATATGATAAGTCGGGTCGAATCAAGTTAATATCATATCAATCAATTTTTAAATTCAGTAGATATTAGATTGGACGATTTCCGATTCTAGTTAATATTGGATAGGTCCATTTTTCGGTCATGTTAATATTAGATCAATCAATTTTTTAGTCGACTCAATGTTGAATCGATTGATTTTAAGACGACTCAATTTCAAGCCGAGTAAATATCAGATGAGTTAGTTTTTAGTTTGGCTCAAACTTCAGATCTTCATATTAATTTAGATTGAGTTAGGTATGAGTTCAATCAACTATATATAGAATTGTTGGTTTATTATTGTTAAAATAATATGTGTTTTGTCAATCTTATTATTTAGACTCAATTTCAATTGTTAACCATTCAATATTTTAAATTTAACTATCTTTTAAGGATGATAATTTGAGCCCAACCTGGCCTTATAAAACGTGTTAAAGTTTGTGGCTTGAATTTCGTATTAATCTGATCTAAAATGTTTGTAGTGCGACTTATTTAGAAGAAAAAAAAGATAAATTTCAATTAAAAATAAAAGAGGTATGATATTAAGATTTTTTTTTGAGAAAAAAGCGGTTAGGGTTTTTTCTAATTCAATGTATCTTTTATAATCCCCTCATTACTAATATTGTCATGGTTGGTCTCTCTCATTAAAAGTAATTCATATCCCACTTAAAGACGTTTGAGGGATAGAGTGATTAAGATTCGGGAATTTGAATTTGTAAGGTTATGTTCGAATTTTACCACCATCATTTTTGGTAGAAAATTTATAAATTTCTATGTAAATCATAATTGTATTTAAGGTATGTTCTGGCCGTAGACTGAGAAAGTTATCCTGACCTAAACTTTTTTTATAAAAAAAATACTAAAAAATTACTCTAGTATTATCGATATCATTAAAAGTACTTAAGTGAGATCATACCCCCATTTAATGTAAAATCGAATAGTAAAATGTTACTCTTGTCACTATTTGATCAGATAATGTTACCATCAAACATTCGACATAAAATTAAACCGTTAAAAGTTATCATTTACTATGGGAATATTACCTTTTCTTGCGACACTAACCCATGTCAATATAAATATTGCTACAGTACACAATTAGGGATAGATAGAGAGAAGCGTGAATGAGGTTGTCACCTCTTTAAAAATTTAAATTATCATATATTTTAAATATTTTTATTAATAATTTATTTTCGTCTACTATAAATTTTATAAATTTGATTTTCTTTAAAATTTTAAAAATTCATCCCTTAATATAATAAAATTATATGTCTGTCGTTGTACACAAGGACATTTAAACACATGATAACTATTAGTTGATCGAATGTTTAAGCAAACTTGCGTGTTTTCTTGATGCGTGTATTAATTAACATTTTACATATTAAAAAGTAAATTACGAAATAAATAAAATAATAACACACTATACATTTGTATGTGAATTCTCTAGTGTTCAGCCCATCGGTACATGGTTTCAAGAGACAATCTGTTTGTGGTGTGTACATATGATTTACTCCGGGTTATAAAGATCCGATGAACACGAATACGAGATTATACAACAATTCGATCAAAATTCTCCGACTGCAAACTGATTTCGGACTCCGAGTTCCAGACAAACTTCAACAGAAGCACAGTTGTTCGGACTCCGGTTTCAATCTGGAGTTTCAGTCCTCTATAGTCTGAATTGGTTCCAGGAATTGACATGGTTCCTACACTTCCAAGTCCATTACTCCAATCAGATCTTCCAAAATTTTATTAATAGTCTATTCGTAGCCTCCTCAACTCGGCTAAGAAGGTGGGGCTCGATGTAAGCGTTCGATGCGCAAGATTTCTTATATCTTCGCGGGAACAGTCTCGGGAGATGCTAACCAATTCCCATAAGGCACCTCCGGTGATCATGTCTTTAGCATTCACTTCTGCAATGTGGTGAGATGGAGTTTCATTATATAAATATTTTTAAAGAGAGAACCTCGGAAAATTTACAGAAGATAAAACAAGCTTACCATGTTGTGCTAAGTGGCAGAGTGCAAGCTCAATATGCCGCCGGATTGGCGAGGCGTCATTGTTAGCATTCTGTACAATCCATGGAAGTGCTCCATCCTCGATCAGAAGAGACCTTCCGGTTTTATTTCCTGTACAATTTGAGAACCAAATTAACCCCAATGGACATAAATCATAGAAATGTAAATCCATGGAAGGTTACGTAAGATGTACGAGTTGAAAAGACTTCAAGAAGTTCTCCTCAAAGAAGTGTACCTTGAGTCGATGCTCTCGACTCGCATTTAGCAAAGTTCGCTATACCACGAGCAACTTGAGCAAGAACATCAGGATGTCCGCATTTTACCATTCCGAGCAACGCCTTGATGCCACCTTCACCTCTTAGCTTATTCTGCAGCTTATCTGAAGAAGGTAATCGAAAATTACTGATGGAAATGGCAAACCAACTGATAAACTTACATGAAACTTTAAGAACGCAACCAGTAGAATGACACATTCATTTAAGCCCTACACTGATAATGTTCTTTATCATGAATGTACCGTTTCGACTTTTTTAAAAAGCAAAAACAAATTGTAAAAAGGTCCATGCAACATCAAACAAGCTTATTATTTCAAGTTTATTGCCATTCGAAGTGTAAGTTGATCAACATGCAGAAACTTCTCATAAACTTAACAATGAAGTCAAATACAAGGATTCCTGCAGATAAAAATCGAAGAGGTCAAGTAATTTACCATTGCCACAGAGATTGGCAATGGCACCAGCAACCATTCTACATGTTTGAGGATCCTCGGCATTAGCTGCTGTCATTGATAACAAGCTAATGCCCCCTTCAGACATTATGAGTTCCTGATTGGTTTCTGACAAAATAAAAGGTGTACCATGTAAAATAAAGAGCGATTGAAAGCAAAAAGACTTCATATGTCAAAAAAGGGAGCCGAATATTTTACCATTCATCGCAAGATTGGCGATTGCACCAGCTGCGACTCTATGAATGGTCTCATCCTCGGAGCTTCCAAGCAGAGCCAGCAAGGATGTTAGACCTCCAGCTTCTACAATCTTCTGCTGATTTGATTCTGCACAATGGAGGTGAATTTTTATGCAGTCATTGACGGATGAATAGGAAACATCACGAAATTATTATCTGAATAGAAGAAAAGGGAGGAAATAGATAATACATCCATACGGAGATCCTCAATAATCTAGAATTAGCGATTTTAGTCCTAAAATGCTTCCTACAAGATTCACAGTACTTAAAAAACTCTAATTTAATCAAATCAAATTTAGAGCAAAGTACGTCCGTGGTACAACAAAAAGAGAATGAGGATCAAACAGGCAGAAACAATACCCTCAGCAGCTAAATTTGCTACCACTTTCACAGCATGAATCCGCACATCAGCATCTTCTGCTTCAAGCAATGACAAGATCTTTTGCAATCCCACTATAAGAGAAAGCAAAGAGATCCACTATAAATATATTAGTGTCTATTAAAGTTTTGATCAATAAATACCAGTTCAGGGATTACTACTACCTTGTTCGAAGAGGTTTGCTATAGAGTCCTTTTCTCCATTTCCCAAATCATTTACCTGTGGTCTAGCTTGAGAAATGAGAGATTCTAGACTTCCCGGGACGATTCCGGGACCATCTAAATCAAGTCTTCTTCTTGTCTATAAAAAATAATGCACGTCTGGTTAAAATTTGATATATAAACAATTAAAGCAATTACAAGCCCCACCTTCTACCACAATTTTTCATTTCTTGAAATCTGGTTGTTAGAAGGCCATTTAATCTCATAATTTAATATTTAATTTGTTATTAGTTACAATGACATGGACAAAGTTTAACAATTTTAACATTTACCATATGCTCCATTTATTCAATTTCCTCATGAGAGGGACACTTTTGAGTGAACTAAGTAAGAGAAACGAAAGAGGGACATAGTTGAAATTTGATAACATACCTCATCAGCTTCAAAACTTAGTTGCAATAACTGTGTTTGTAGTGTTGATATTTCCCCTTCAAGTTTTTCCTTTCGATATGCCTCATCTTCCAGCATCTTTCGCAGTTTCAAGACCTCAGAACTTGCTGATACCTATGCAACGGAAGTGTGGCAGTATGAGATAGCAGTCTATATGCGAAATAAGTAGCAGCAAAAAGAGCTAAAGATGAAAAAAAAAAGGAACACGAGATATGCCTCAGAGATTTTCAATTGAGCAATTTGACTTTTAAGGCTATGGACTTCCTCTTCAGCAATTTTCCTTAGAGAAATTTCTTTGTTAAGTAACCGTTTTAGCTCAGCAACTTCCTCAGCAGAGGAGGCAATCTGATCCTAGGTGGAATAAAAATGGCAGACATTATAAGCGAGTTTCAAGTTAGCTGTGATAGAAACTAAAGAAAATAGTAATGAAGAGAATGAAGAAAAAAATATTAATTTTTCATAGTATAAGAAATCAATATCATGCAATACGAGGGAGATAGCTCTATACAAGATTATATTTCCACCTTTCTTTCACTGTTCTTTTGCTGATTCATCATCCATTTCTCCTCAAGCTTCTTTATTGATTCCATATATTCCTTCTGATACTTCAATCTTTCCTTCTGCAACAAGAAGATATGAATCAATACGCATTCAAGTAGAAAGTAGATTAACTCAAGGCAGTGGACAAAAGCATGATCTATCTCTATCATCGAAAAGATCAAAGGGTCCACCAATAACTGTTTGCTTAGCTACACCTCAACTAAACCCCCTTTCATATCCTTTCATATCATTCACCCGGGACCTTTAGACTGAACTTATGAAGTTTATGACAATTGGTCAAAGCACTCTTTTCCAAATCATTTACAGGATCAATCAAGTGTTACAAATTTGATACATTCATGTTTTCAGAAACCATGAAGAAATTTAGATCAAGTGTTACAAGTTCATGAAAATTATGACCGTGAAAGCTTTATGGAATTAAACATATTAGCAGACACTACTTTCCAGGTAAAGCTAGAATATGCATGAAGTAAAAGTGAATTTTAATGGGGGGAGGGGGGACAGAACCTTACCTCCATTGCATTTGCATAATTTCGTTCAGCCTCAGAAATTTGGTTTCGCGCATCCGTGGTTATTCTTTCAATCTCATCTTCAAGTGCTTTCTGTTTCCGCTCATGCTCCATAATCAGTTGATCTAACTGTATGTCAAGCTTTCTAGCCAAACTTTTATAATCAAATTCTTCCTTGAGCTTCAACATATTCTCCACTTTCATAGCCTATATAAAGTAAAAAAAGGGGTTCATATCTTGAGCTATCGAGCAGCTGTATAAATATAATCCGCTTATGCTCTTGGTGAAGATTTGATTCCATTATATGTTAGCAGAAAATAATATCATTGAATACATGGAAATAGAACCAACTAGTCCATAGGTGCCTCTTTAAACCATAAATTAAGATGAAATGAGTAAAATAATGGAATTTGTTACCCACCCTCTGTCCAAACATTATAGTACTAGCTGTTTCTCCGCGGTGACGTGGGGATGGACCAATAGTTATAACCAGTGATGTTCTTGCTGTGCCTGTTAAAGAAATAATTTTTTTTTTAAAATGTTATATTTTTTCAATGCATTGAAAATGTTCGGTACTTTATCGAACACCCTTAGTAATATAATAAATAGCACATAATGAAAAAGTCATTGCATCAAATTCACCTCCAAATGAATCACGAAGTAACCTGGTAAGCTTTGAATCACGAATTGGAACATGAGCACTATTCTCTGCCAGTGCGTTAATGCACTTCCCTAATGCACTTAAAGAAAGATTGATAGATTTCGCTTCCTCTAGCGTGTGACCTTCACTCCCTGCAAAATAACAGCAAAACAACAAAGTTATGCTTTAAGGAGAAACAGTCAAACTGAGGGGTGGAAGCTTAGGGCTTCCAGTTTAATTACCTGACTTATCGATTCGCTCAGAACCAGCGAGATCTACAACAACTAGCTTTCCCTTTCGAACGAGTGTAGGCCTAAGAGATTTAGCCATGTTGGTAGTGTTACCATTTTGACTTGAATGAGCAAGATCACTTCCTTTGACAGACCTCTTGACATGTACCTATAGCAGAAAGCGATCAATTGATTGCATGATAAGATAACTAGTACAAGAACAGATTAATTCAATGGATTCACCATCAAAAGAGCATGACTACGAGAAGATTCAGTATTCGATCTTGTGTTTGCAGCATAGCGATGAGCTTCGCCTAAACGGAGCAATTCCAAGAAACTCTGCTGATCTCTTATTTCGAATAGGGTAGCCCCAGGTAGTGAAACATCTCTGGACCTAGGGTCTTCCACAATTGAAATGTTGTCATTCGTAGGATCAATAAGATCCTGTAAGCTCTCCATGTAGAGCTGCACAAATTTTCAAAGAGCAGAATTATTAGGCACATTAAAACGTCTATTAATTTAAAGAAATGATAATAAATTTCTAGAAGAAATTTCATAAATGCAATGATAATGATCATAAATCAAACACCAGGATCTGCATTAAAATGCAACAACCTGCAAATAGGAGACTGAAACAGAATCAGTTTCCAATGAAACATCTGCTAAGATATCCTCCATAGCACGGACAATTATGCCACGATCAGCTGTATCTTCCTCCCCAAGTCGTCCAAGCGTATATGTTTTGCCGGTACCAGTCTGACCATAAGCCATGACTGTACCATTATAACCATCCAAAACACTCTATAAAGAAAAATTACACAAGGATCTTGTTAATAAAATTTGAACCACGCACCCAAAAAAAGTTATGGAGAAAAAGTAACAGACAGGAAAAGAAAAAGATAACTTGGGGAAAAAATAAACAATGAAACACAATGATAGACTGAAATTTTGACGTGTAGCAGGAAAGGAAAATAACTAAATGCAAGTGAATTTCGAACAAATTGTTGTCGAATTATATGTCATGTACACAAACCTCCACAACTGGCTTTGCAACAACTTCATACACCCGCTTTTGTGATGCGAACTCTGTGAGCACTTCATCAAACTCATACATGTCTGTGTCCCAATTGTTTTTTCGAAGCTTTAACCTCTTAAACTGAAATAAATGAACAGAGCATCAGTTCCCCTTTAAAAGGAAACTTGCACAAATCAGATAGGACCTAAATTCAAGTAATTTGAAAACTAACTAGATAAGCCACAGCATGCAAAAGCAATGGCCCACCAGCACATATAACCGTCGAATGTAATCACAATACCTCTGGTTGAAGTTCTACACAATCAGCAAAATCAGCATCTGCCACTGACTCTTCTGCATTGCGTGGCCTTAATCTCACAGCCACCCGAACTCTTCCAGGAACTGAAGAGGAACGAAAAAAACATCAAATTAACAACTCAAAATACAGAACCGGCATGCATATACATTGCACTTGTCAAGAAGAACTCACTACCATTAAAGTTAAAATCTTCAGTCTAATCCCTAATTCTTTGCAAAGAATAAAAATCCTAAGAATCTAACGTTTGAAAGCAGCAACTGATGAGGGCACTGAAAGATCAAAAAGCACTATACTGTCTATACTTTCAACACTAAAAGATTCACAATAAAATATAAAAATACTAAAAAAAAATCAGATTCCGACGGTTAAAATCGAGTAAAGCTAAACCTCAGCGCCAACCAGCACTCGAGTTTACTACCAATGAACTGTTTAAGTGATCTGACGTATTTTTTTTATACAATGCATATATTACCAGACCACTCCCCACACAAAATCGGAGGGCATTGAGCACTTAAGCATCTATGACAGTCGAGCTAAACTTAATTGGCTAAATTCGTTAATATTTAACCAGATTTAGATTGCATAAATTATCAAATTGCTTTAATCGGAAAGAATCTAAGAAATTCTGTTCTATGATCTATCATGTCACAAAGCTAAGATAAATCACACATGTAACCATCCAAAAACACACATAAACATGACTTACAAGATGCAATATCAGACAATGAATGTTACAATCATCGACAATCAAAAGAAGATACCCGACAACCTCAATTGAAAATTCAGACATCCGACACTCCAAAAGCAAACAAACATGAAACAACAAAACCAAGAAAAAAAATGTATCATCGAAGATCTCAAAACAAAAAAAACCCAAAGTAAAATAAATAAAATCAACTAACCCCCAGCATCATCTTTGGCAGTTCCACCTCCTCCAAGTGACCCAGGGCTGCTCTTCCTTAGCCCAGAAGATGCACCAACAGAAGACAAAGACTTGTTTTTGAGTGTGGGCTTGGAAGGGTTGGTGTTCACAGAGAGCGGCCTATCAGTTGCTGTTGTTGTCGTTGTTCCTTTGAGAGAGTTCTTATGAGTCCCACTCCTATAATTTCCACCACCACTCGCCATTTCTTGAAAAACTAAAAAAAAAAACCAATACCAAAGATTCAATCTTTAGAGTGCCCACTTTTCCATTCCAACTTGAACTCCAATTTCTTTGCTTATACTGTGTTTGTTTGCCGAGAAAATGCAATTTGTCAGAAAGAGTGCAAGCAATGAAGGATTTTTTTTATTTTTTTGAGTTTGTGTTTGAGAGAGAGAACCAGAGGACGTGACTTGTAAGATAAAACGGAGTGGGAGAGAGAGAGATAGAGAGAGAGAGATAGAGAGAGAGAGATGGCATTGATTTTACTAAAATGCCCTTTTGAAACATTAATGGTACGTATATTTACTAAAATGCGCCTCGTGACGGTGTTTAAATGCGGGAATTGAGCCGAGGTGTGTCGCGCGTCTGGAAACCTTAAATTACTTTTATGCCTCTCTGATCCAAGTTGCCCTTCCGTTTGGTAAATGGTAATTTTCCTAGGGTAAACTACGTATTTAGTCATCCATATATTTCCGTAGTTCTGTTTCAGTCACCTGTCATTAAAAAATAAACAGAATTGCTTTTTTATTTTTTTCAATAATGATGTGGTGTTATATTACGGTGACACATCAGTATCATTGATAATTTTAATGGTGGGTGACCAAAATAAAATGTTATATATGATTTTGAAATAAAAAATCATTAGTGACCAAAACAGAATCACAATAATAAGGGGATGGCTAACTACATAGTTTATTCTTTTCTGATTTAATATTTGTTCTAAATTAGTCCCACAACCTTCTTTTTACGCACTAATATCTAAATTTTGCAGCTTTTTTGTATTTAATTCTTTTGTTGATATATGTTCAAAAAAAATAAGTTGATGATATAATAATTTGTTATTGGTCCACATTAAATTTTGTGTTAGATATCAAAATGACAAAAAAATTCAAATGGACTAATATAGAAAAAAAAATTAATAACCAACTTGTAGATTTTATTAGATTTGTATACTAAAAGTTACTTTACCCATTAAAAATTTGACCGTAAACCATTTTGGTTGAGTTTGTAAGAATAATTCGATTTTGGTTAGTATTGAGTTAAGTTTTTTTTTTTCTTTTAATACTTTTGGGTGATTGTAAAGTAGTAAGTTTTAGAATTTTTTTTAAACTTACAATAACACGCATTCTACAAACACAGCTGTCCAAACTTGAGTATTCTAAAAAGAATAATATTTAATTTTATCACTAAAATCACGGATCGTGTTAAAATAAAAAAAAATCAAAATTAAGTATTTTGATTGAAATTTGAGTATGGGCAATTAAATTTGAATTCAAATAGAAAATTGAACTCATTTTTTATTTAAAAAATACTTATATAATAAATTGACTCCTATTAAATCAGACGATAATTAAATGAACTTTCGAGTGAAATATTACTCTTATTTAAAAATTTAAGAAGATATCTATTTAGAAGATATTTAACTCTAAAACTTATTTAATTATCGCTTAGTTAGACTGAAACTAATTTATTATATAAACATTAAATAAATAAATAACTTTATTAATGCATTATTGAATTTTAGAAACAAAATTTTAATAAAACTCAAACTTCTAATTTAAGTAACGAATCAAACATTAACACAAATTAAACATGGCAAGTAATAAAGTCGCATAATGTATGGGTATATATTTGTATTATTATTGAGTACATTATCTATAAAGTTTTTTTTTGAATTAATCATTGGTATTCGATCTATTGACTGATTAATCCAGATTGGATACTATAGAGACGATGGTGACCCTATCAACCCAGTTAGCTCCATTCGCAAACGCCAGAATTTGAACCCCTGACTTTGCTTAAGAGACCTAGTACCTCATCTCACTAGACCAACTGGTTATTGGTAACTATAAAGTATTTTTACTTCCCAAATAATATTAAGAAATAATTGTGTGTTTTATTTATTTATATATAATTTATTTAATATTGAAAAGATAATATGTGAATAAATTAATATTATGTCGTTAATAGAATAAAATCATAGAAGCCGTAATGAAATAATTCAATTAATTTTTATTCATTAATACTATAATAAGTATTAGAACTCAAATATCGTCATCATAGAAAATGCATAATGTTAAAAATATCTCATAATATTTATTGAAATGATCATTTTGATTCATATTTTTTTTGAAGTATTTTAACCCTGATGTTTTATTTAATGGCAAAAAAAACTCCTAATATTTGATTAAATAGTTATTTTAATTATGTTTTTAACATTTTGATCCTCAAATATTTTATTTTAAGGTGAAAAGAACCATATTCTAGAGCATTAATAGTTAACATAACATTTTCCATTCACATAGGAGCCATTTTATTCCAAAATAAAATTTTGAGGACCAAAATACATTAAAAAAGAATAAGAGTAAAGTGATTATTTTATTGAACATTAAGATTTTTTTATATTATGCCAAAAATCATAAAGGAGGGTTTGAAATGAAAGGGAATGCAAAGGCTGCAGAGTAAAATTATGAGGTGGAAAGAGAGAGAGAGAGAGAGACGGTGGAAGTAAGCTTTTGTGTGTAAAAGAAAAGCAAATAAAAGTTAGGGTGGGGGAAGGGCAGAGGAAGAAGACGAAACCCTTCCAAAATCTACCTGCATTTTGCATTACAAGCATTCAAACATTTGTGGTTAAATCTCAAAATTACATATTAACTTTAGTAACATGTGTAAATTGATAACAATTTTTTTTTTAAATTTTTACCTGATTTAACGCTTTCAAAACGCTAACACCACTATATATATATATATATATATATATATAGAATTAATTACATAAATATTATATTTTCAAGGTAAATATCAAGATTTGAACTCATATAAGATAAGATAACATTAGTATCATTGACTACTCGACCAATTAATGGATTTCTCGCTATATATTTAACACTATATTATGTTCACATATTCAGGGATGAACACATAATTTTATGTCAGGGAGGCGAACTTCTAAAATTTTAGAAGGGTATGTACTTATAAAATTTTAGGGGGACGAAAACAGATTTTCAATAGAAAAATACATAGAACAAATCTAAAAATATGATAATTTTAAATTTTCAGGACGACGAATGCCCCCTCCCCGTACAAACGTTTTATTTATTCAATACAAAAATAAATTTATGTAATTATTTATTTTAAATATAAAATGAAATAAAAATTAAATATCATATTTTGTAGAGAATCATACTTGTAAGCATTAATATTTTCTCGAATTTTATATATGATATACTTAAAGTAACGTCAACTAAATCTTAGTTCAATTAATACTATTATTGTTATAATACTTTAGAGGTTATCGATTCAAATAAATTTTAATATATAATAAATTTTAATTTAAAAAAAATTGTAAATAGTTTATACATTATTTATATGCATAACAACAAATTCAAATTCCTTACTCTCAAATGCATTTGGCTTTGAAAAAAGTGGGAAAAGGGGCTAAGAAAAAAGTATAGTTTGCTTTTAATTATTTTTCTTTTTTGGTTGAATCCAACAGTCAAGTATTCTTCCCTTAACTATTTTTCCTCTTTGAAATTGAGAAATAAAAGTATAGAGTATTAATCTTAAAAAACGAAATTCGTTTCTGATCACATTTATCAAGACAGTAGTATCACTTCTAAGATAGTAGTTTTATCTCAATACATTTTCCTTCATCTTATTAACCTTGAGGTCTTGGGATCGAGTTTCACGGAGAGCATTTTATAATTCGGAGGTCTTCTACGGAAGCTGCTCTCAACCTGGTGTTGGGGGCAGCCTACTATCTTACCTCCCCCTTATCCCATTACATATGGGAACAATGGACAGCCATTTTTATGATTTTATTTTTACTGTCTTGAGAATTATAGGCACGTGTGCCTACATCTGGGGATGGGCATGGTTTGGGTCGGGTCGGATTTTCGGTCAACCTGACCCTATTGAAATAATATATTTATTAAAAAAATATTATTTTTATTCAATAAAAACAATGATTTAATTGGGGGAAAATAATATATATAGAAGGGCATGATTGTAACTATCCCTAAAGAAAAAACTATATGTTTTTCTCGGGCCGGATTGAGTGTTTTTCACACTAAACCCAAATCCGAATTTTTTAAAAATAAACTGACCCGATCAGGTCGAGTCGAGTCAGAACACGTCGAATCCGAGTCCCATGCCTATCCGTACTTACATCCATTTTTTCATCAACAGAGAAATGAAAAAATGTATTTATAAGAGTTTATTTATTATTTATTTTTAAGCATAATTTATAACGATCGAAAATATACTTTGTGGGAAAAATATTTTGTAACCATATAATTTTATAGTTTGTTGTTAAATGATTCATGTTAGTTATATTTCTTGTCTGGTTGAAATAATATTATCTATTTGATTTGCTAACAATAATATAATATGTAAAATATACCTGTTTATGTGAAAATGATTAAGATTCATTATTCTTAAACATTGAAAATGTGGATGTCAAAAAATTATATTTTTCTAAGAATAATGAATGACCATATTACATGCTAAACATAACGTAGCATATAAATAGTAGTTTTAAAGCTTTTATATATTATGGTATATTTACAAATTAGTAAAATTATATTTACAAATTAGTAAAATTATATTTTATGGATCATACAAATTTAAGAATTTAAAATATCCTAAAATTATAAATATTAAATTTAAATTCATTAAATGTTATCTCAATTATATGAATGGATCAAAGTCTGGAATTGAAATGTTATTTCATAATATGAACACTGAAACATCAAAAAGTGGTCCAAGGTGGGGCAGGGTCACCAAGAACACAAATTTTCAGTGGAATAATCTTTCATAATTCCAATGAATTTACGGAAAGAGAGACGACCTTTATCTAAAAGCAAAATAGACAGCGGCACAGTGCAAAAAATAGCAGTAAAGCAAGCAACCCCCCTCAATTTGATAGGCTACTGAAAGCCATTACAAAATCATGGAACCTACCAAGTTTTTGTTGAATTCACTGATAGAAAAAGAAATAGCTAACAGTCCGTTTGGTTCACGGATTTCTTCATTCTTGGGAGGAATTTTTTTCCCCGGATTAAGATACCCATGCTTGGATAGGTCATATTCGAGGGTAAAAACTAAATACCAACAATCGTTTTTTTGTTCTGTTTAAC